ACATAATTTTAACAAGCACAGGCCACTGTGATAGCAATCTGTTTTTTTCTGAGGTTGTATTATTGATAACAGTCAAGCAACAGTCCAGGAGGCTCCACTTCTGTCCAAGGGCCTGATTGCTCTGTCATAGAGTTTTCAGAAATGCCAGGAGCACATGCCATGTCACAGAAATGTTCAGTCGCTATCTTCAAAGGACAGGACTGAAGGATTTCCCATTCATGTGCTGCAATCTTAGCTTCCACAGATAATGAAATGAAATCAGTTATTCTAGAGATTTCTGAGTCAAAGCCCTAGATAAAATGAGAATTAATCTAAGAGCAGGTGCAATGTGGAAACTTGCACAAGAAACTGCTCATTTATCTATTCTCACTTCAGCCAGAAAGTGGAAACATGTATTGATCTAAGGACATTTTCATCTGTTTGTTAGCATCTGCCACATATAATAATTATGGTAGCCCTAGGACACCCCTTATCTATTCTAGTTTGTGTTTTTTTAATCCCCTAAATTCTACATAGAGATGATAGGTAGCACCAGAGAAAAGGTAGACATACAAGCTATACAACGTTGTTTTTGTTTTGTTTTGTTTTTATCCTTTTGGTGTCCGCATACAATGTTGTTTTTATCAGAATTAAACATACAAGCAGCTGTGCAAATATTGTTCATGGGCTATACAAGGTTTGATCTGATGTTATGAGAGAAAAAAGCTTTAACTTTCTAAAATCAAAATGTTTACAACCTTCCTAAAGAAACATTTCCTGAACAGCTACAGAGAAGTGGTTTCTGCAGAAGCTTATCAATTGCAATCCTGTGACACTCTCTGTGGAACTTAAAGTTACATGTTACTTATGGAATATTATAAAAATGTATCAAATAACTCTATTAAAAAGTGGAGAAATGTTTTGAACAGACATGTCTCAAAAGTAGATCTACAAATGGCCAACAAACATATGAAGAAATGCTCGACATCACTAGTCATTAGGAAAAATGAAAATTAAAACCACAGTGAAATACTATCTTATGCCAACATTATTGAAAAAATGATTTTAAAAAAGCAATAGATGTTGGTGCAGATGTGAAGAGAAGAGAATACTTATACACTGCTGGTGGGAGTGTAAATTAGTAAAACCTCTGGAAATCAGTATGAAGATATTTCAAACAATTAAAAGTATATAGTTTGTTCCAGCAATCTTGCTACTTAGCATCTACCCAAAGGAAAGGAAGTCGTTATAAAATTAAGATCCTCGCATTCATATATTTGTCACAGAACAATCCACAACTGCAAGGATGTGAAGTTGACCTAAATGTCCGTCAACTGATCAGAAAAAAAATAGTGACTCCAAATGCTCATTTATTATATAAACATGTATAAGGACAGTATGAAGTATCAAATAACAGTAAGATTTATTGGAGATGAATGATAAACATAATATTCTAATGTAAATGTATACAGACAAACTATGAAATGATCATTCAAAAACAAATACTTCAGAGTCAGACAAAGAAGATACAAATGAAATTGTATTTTTGGTACTTTTAGAGGTGATTGTTACAGACAAACATATCAATATATTTGTGTCAGCAGTATGCTTTGGCACAAATATTCCAGCTTCTGAAAAAGCAGCATCAGAGAATTAGTGAGGAAATAACTCCAATCTAATACTTTTCTTAGACCCCCGTCATTATCAAATCATATCTCTAGCTCAATAATTTGGAAGAGATATTTGAACAGCTTTTTCCCCCTCTAGGGGATTCGGTCTTTTAACTGATAACAAATGAGAGTGTTTGTTTCCAAGAAAACATTTCAAGGCCATCTCTGACATCTTACATTTGATTATATATAGACGGGGATTTGATACAGATACTATATCAATGTCGATGCTATCTTTTTTATATTCTACCCCTTTTATTTATTTAAAAAAAAAAACAAAAAACAGTGAAGGAGAGACAGAGCTTGCCACCTGAAGGTGATATGACCCTCAAGTGAAATTTCAAAATCTGTGTGGATGTTTTCACAATAATTTTAGGCAATGTGATATTTAGTGTGTAGAGGGTGAAAAATGTAAAATATCCCAAAGTTCTCCCAAATGGAACTTTACTGGCGTAATTGTGGAGGATGTTCATATTTCCGCTGTGACTGAAGAACAGAAGCTGCGTGAAATACATAGAGCTACTGATTTTGGACTATACTATCTTGGCAGTCCTGGTCTGCACCTAACACCTGATAAGGGACATCTCAGGCATTGGTTCTTCTCGAAGCCAGCAGTGGCCGAGTGTCCAAATGAACCAATGTCCTGAGAGGCAGAAAGACCCTTCCTTGTGTCCAAGCTACATGTGTCTAGCTGTAATCGTTTTTTTCCCTGAAAAGTCGGCACAGTTGAGTTCTCGCTTTAATCAATACAGGAAATAGTACCAACCAAAAACCCATAAGGTATTTCACTATCAGAAGAAATGATGAAGGACAAAATTATGAATTTTGCAGTAACTTGGATCGACTTAGAGTCTTTAATACTGAGTGATCTGTCACAGAAACAAAGAACTGAGTACCCCATGTTCTCACTCATAAGCAGACCCTGAACAATTATCATAATACTCTAAGAAAGTGATTGGCAGTAGTGGGAAATTGCCAGGGGACGGAGGGGGACATACTTCATCAATACGTGTACCTGATCTCAAACCAGTTGAAGTGGATACCAAAGTGAGGCCCAAACTTTACCTGTCCAATGACTGTTTGCATATCTAACCCTGAATTGTACCCCACATCTTTAAGATAAATTTTAAAAAAGAAAAAAGTTAAATGGTTAGCAGAGTGTCTTTTAATCAGTGAGTGCTCAATAAACATAAATTGTTATAACAAAAAAAGAAGAAATAATAAACTTTAGCCTCACAGATGCAGAAAGAAGAATTTAAGGTTTGCTAATAAATCATAGCAATGTCTAATGTTTCCGGTGCAATATGCCAGATACGTTACATGAATTTTATTAATTCTTACAGCCACACTTTGAAGTGGGAAGTGGAAAGCTGATAATGTGGGAACTGAGGCTTGGTGAGACTAAATTGATCAGAGTGACCCAGCAAATGCTGCAGGATTTAAAATCAAATCTGGTGACCAGATGCTTGACTGCAGAGCTTTGTCCTATGCCAGGACCCTGGATACCCAACCCGACTACCCAATTTAGAGCCCACCCAGACATAAGCTCCTTTCTTTTATAAACCAAGGAGGGTTCTCAATTTGCTTTGTCTTCGTTAATGTTAAATGCTTGGTTCAAGGCATTATAAGTGTAAAAGTTAAGTTAATCAATTCCCAGCTCTGTTCAACTCAAGTTCAACATCTTAAACTCCAAGGATCTCCTCAAGAAAAGGTGTGGCTTTCTCTGGCTTGTGTTGCATCGGGAACAAAATGTTCCCATAGAATTGATACTATAAGGGTCATATTTATCTGGTAGCCTCAGATGTGAAGAAAGCAGAACACATTGAACCTCAACCAAATATTTGCATATGTGCTATTCTGCCTAAGAAAACAGAAAGTGGGGATATGTTGTGTGTTGAATATCTTGATACTCCTGTGATAGCATAAATGATTTCCACTTCTTTGATAGTCTCAAACACTCAAAAGTAAAGTTTCTTGCAATGACATATGCCATTTCTTGATCAGTCTCTGAGTGATTTTATATTCCCAGAACCAGAACCAGACCTTAAAATCACCCAGAAATTCAATTCTGAGTCACTTCTACAAACATTTCCCCTAATGAAAGCCGGATTAAAAAGTGGTTAGGTTGCTAAAATATAAAACTAAATAAACATACCTTGTAATTTGCTCCTGGCCTCTGCAATGTAATAAAGTGCAAATCCATGTAGAATTTTGAAAGTGTGTGCTTTAGATACATGTCTGTGGAAACTAACCTGTATTTTTGGAATTTACTCTTTTCCTGGTTCTACTGTACCAGCCCCGCAGAGGGATCTTTTCAGTTTGCAGTTGCATGTTTTCAGGTCTGGCCTGAGGCTTTGCATATCACTTCTTCTCACATCACTCAAAACAGGAAGCCCAACAGGCAGGGCATCCCTTCCTTTCCAAGTCTCCTCTGCCAAGTCCCTCACAGCTCATCTTTCTCAGAGGGCCTGGTTTCCACTATCCTTCAGGGCATTTACACTGTCTTCTCCTCCATCTACCTCTCGGACCCCTTTGCATTCCTTTTCTGTTGTTTTGAATAACTCATCAAGGTTTGAATCACATTCATTTTTGATGCTTTTATTTTCCCCCATAGAATGTAAGCCTCATAAGGATAAAAGTTTGGGCTTGCCTCCATTACACAGAAGAGGACCTGACACACAGTGGCTCTCAAAAAATACTTTTTGAATGAATAGATAAATATTTTCATGAATGCATTCCATGTATTTAACATTTGAGATGGAGCAAAGTTAGAAACATACTTATAGGTTTGTTGTATGTGTATGCATATTTTCTTAAATGGTGATTTAATGAAAATAAGTTTGATTCTCTGTAGACCAAACTGATTCACTTTGTTTCACAAATAGGTTTTAACATTTAACATTTCATTTAAGAGAAAGCATATTTAAGTAGATTATATTGATTTAAATATCCGGTAGGAAATGAAGAATCTTATTTGTATTGTTTATTGTAAAAAGCACATAGATTAAAACAAAACTGATGTTTACATTTTAGTAGTATCAATTGTAGAAAAAAGACCTGAAGTGTCAAGAAGGTGCATCGATTAATTGCAACATTTGTGTTCTCAGCATACCTGCATAGCCAGATGTAGTCCTTAAAAGACGATAAATTAAATACCTTTCATAAGTTAAAAATGCAGGGGTTTTTTTGACTTTTGTAATTAATTGTTAGATAAATTGAGTATCCTGATGAAACTGTTTATGAAAATGATGTCAAGACAAGCAAAAATAAGACACTTGTTTGTTTTCTACCTCATGGGCTTAAAAATATTCCTTGTGCATTTTTTTAAATGGTCATTTTTCCTATTTTCAGAAATTGAGAAGGGAGGGTGTGGGGATCCCGGAATCCCAGCCTACGGGAAGCGGACAGGCAGCAGTTTTCTCCATGGAGATACACTCACTTTCGAGTGCCCGGCGGCCTTTGAGTTGGTGGGCGAGAGAGTGATCACCTGTCAGCAGAACAATCAGTGGTCTGGCAACAAGCCCAGCTGTGTGTGTGAGTATTATGCCTTGACTGGAACCCACCCTGTCCTGCTACAGCCTTGCAAAGGGAGAAAAGGAGAAAAACAGAGTGCACGTGTAGGGTGGGTGGCTTTTGAAATAGCTGGATAGAGCATGATGTACAAGAATTGTGCAAGGGCATTCTCAAACACCAACTTGCCTGCTTTCTTTCTTGATTAAAACTAACTTGTAAATATATCACATTCACTAGAAAAAATGTGTTGAACTTTTTCTACTAGAAAAGTCAAAGCATATGCCATTGCTTCCATCCAAAGCTTGAGATGAGATGATATGCTACAGCAGACTTAAAAACAGCAACCAAGTCTTTTTGTGACTTAATAATGTTGTATAACACTTAAATGCAAGTTGTTCATCAGCGTGGGCATGGCTTTGGAATTCAGTTGAAGATCTGTCTGCTTCTTCACAAGTATAGTATTTTAACATGTAAAAAATGTTACAGCCAATTTTAAAGGGGTAATTTTTAAATATGACAATGGCTGGAAAGGATATAGGAAATTGTGTTGAATAAGAAGCAAAACCACACTCTAAAGATAAATTCAGTAATTACTCCTTCCAAAAAAGAGAATTATATTATATATTATACAATATATTATATAATTGGATATATAATTATATACAATAAATGTTATATATGTAATATTTATAAATATATCGTATAGTATAAGATTTTTAAATACACTTTCTTAAAAGTAAATTTTTGAAGAGATTTCTTTCATTTTCCAAGTAGAACATGGTCTGATTTGTCTAAATCATTTATTATCCTGTAACTAATAAAATGTTTAAATAACTCAAGAAATGCATAAAGAGGAAAATATAAAATATAAATTTAAAAGTTATCACAGAAGAGCAGACTGAATTGTTCCCATGACACAGACATATACCTTTTCATATTAATATTTGTTCTTCTGAAGGCAGAAAGTTATAACTAGAAAGTGTAATACTTGGCACACATTTTCAGTCAACTTGAAAGGATCATTTCTGGACCAAGCTTGTGCTTGATTATTATAGGTTCTGGTTGTACTCTGTAAGATAATGAAATATTATACTTAAAATCTGGGGAAAGAGAAAGTATTGTGGTCCAGAATTACTAATTTTAAAATAGTTGGATCATCATAGCTATTTGTAGGCATGAATCGCCACTCTAAGTTTTTAGCAATTTGTTTCATGTGACAATTCTTTGGCTATTGGCAAAACTGTTTAAAAATACATTTGCATCTTCACAGTTTCATGCTTCTTCAACTTTACGGCATCATCTGGAATTATTCTCTCACCAAATTATCCGGAGGAATATGGTAACAACATGAACTGTGTTTGGTTAATTATCTCTGAGCCAGGAAGTAGAATTCATCTCATCTTTAATGATTTTGACGTGGAGCCTCAATTTGACTTCCTTGCAGTCAAAGATGATGGGATTTCTGATATAACTGTACTTGGTACTTTTTCTGGTAACGAAGTGCCTTCCCAGCTGGCCAGTAGTGGACACATAGTTCGCCTGGAATTTCAATCGGATCACTCCACCACTGGCAGAGGGTTCAACATCACTTACACCAGTAAGTATGCCCACAGAGACTTCACTTCCAAGTTCCTGTTTCATTTGTGTGTTTCTAAAGTTGCATTTCAAGGCTGCTACTTTGAAAGTTTAAAAAATACTACCTCACTGTATTTAGATTAGCATCTTGGTCATTCCTATAGCAAGGTGCTGGATCTGCTCTCTTGTATCTTCCTACATCTCCTGTCTCTTTGACTTTTCATCCATTCATCCATCCATCCATTCATCCAACTATCCGCCCATTTAATTATCCATCCACTCATACAACCAATCCAAGCAACGAAACAGTGAAGTAAAAAGGATTGAGTCGCTGGGCTCGGTGGCTCAGCCTGTAATCCCGCACCTTGGGAAGTTGAGGTGAGTGGACTGCATGAGCCCGCGGGTTCGAGACCCGCCGGCGCAACTTGGTGAGACCTCATCTCTACAATAAATCAAAAAAATTAGCGAGGCGTGGTAGCACACGCCTGTAGTTCCAGCAACTTGGAAGGTTGAGGTGGAAGGATCACTGGAGCCCAGCAGGTCTAGGCTGTGGTGGCCGGGAGCAGCCACTGCACTCCAGTCTGGGCGACAGAGTGAGACTCCAGCTCAAAAAAACAAACAAACAAACAAACAAACAAAAAAAGGATTGAGTCATTTGAAGTCAGGAGCCAAAGATAAAATATATCAGCATTTCTATATTTTGACCACAGCTAACTTCTCTTTGCTCCTGGTTCCTCATTTCCAATTCCTACTTTATAGGAGAACATCTACTTAAATGCATTGTAGAGGGAATAAAGTGAAATCATGATCATATGAGTAGTACAAAGTTATCATTGACTAACTGCCTGCTCCTCTTGGGCGCCGCTCTTAGATTCTGACAGTAATTGCTTCATTTAGTCTTGCAGTATATAGACTTAATATTTCTTATTTTATAATGATAGCTAGACTTAGATCATCAAAGTCATCTGCTCAATGTCAGATAATAAACATAAAAGTCAGGATTCTACCCCAGACCTGTTCTGACCTCAAACACCTTTCACTGTTATCATATCCCTTCTTTCTTTTCATAAGTACACGTGAAAAGTGCTTTTCGTTCTCTAAATGCTGCATAAATGATAGTCATACCTACATCTCTATCTGCATGCTTTTTCTCTCCTTGTCTTTGTCTCTCTGTCACTCTCTGTCTTTTCTAGGTATGTGTGTCTCTCTGTCTCTGTTTCTCTCTCTCTCTCTGTGTATGTTTGTGTCTTTGTCTCTGTTTTTCTCTCTCTCTCTCTTTCTCTCTCTCTCTCTATTTGTCTCTCTGTTTTTCTATCTCTGTTTCACTGGATACTGGCAGTCTTTTTACATCATCTATCTATAAATGATGAACTGAAATGTGGGACAATAATTGCTTTGTAAGTGCATTCTATTTTCTTTTTTTAAATACATGTAAGTGATATTCAGGTATTTTTACATTTTCTTTTTCTTTTTCAGCATTTGGTCAGAATGAATGCCATGACCCCGGGATTCCTATAAATGGACGGCGCTTTGGCGACAGGTTTCTGCTTGGAAGCTCAGTTTCTTTCCACTGTGATGATGGCTTTGTCAAGACCCAGGGCTCTGAGTCCATCACCTGCATTCTGCAGGATGGGAATGTGGTCTGGAGCTCCACCGTGCCCCGCTGTGAAGGTGCGGTCCCTGCCCTCTGCCAGATGTCTTCCTTTGAATTCACTTATCTATCTTCAAACACACAGACACACAAACAAACTGTGTTGATGTGCTAAGGCTGCCCTGACAGAGTACACAGACAGTCACTTACACAGCAAAAATGTACAGTCTCACAGTACATTTGGAGGCTGAAAGTTTGAGATCAAGGTGGGGCAGAGTGACTGCCTTCTGAGGCCCTGAGTGGCAGATGCAGATGCCCCAGGCCTGTCCCCTAACTCCTGGTTTGCAGCCATCTCTGGTGCTCCACACCTTGTAGAAGCAGCATCCTAATCTCTGTCTTCCTGTTCATATGGATACTTTCAGGAGAAAGAAATGTAAAGTAAACATCACTCTGGTCTTGGTTCTCTCCTGGACACAAGTCTAGTTGTCCCTTGTGTCTTTCTTTTACTGCCACAGGCTGTTTACACATAGGTTATAAGCTGCAGGGTGAGCATACACCTCAGCACAACTAGTGAAAAATGGGTACTGACAGGTGGTGGGTGATAAGAAACCTGAAGTGATAAAAAAGGGGCAAGCATCACATTAAATGTTAACAGAGGCTTCTTCCATTGTTAGAAAGAGCCCATCAGGCGAAGTTAGGTGCAAAGTCCAGTCATAGGTCATTATCAAAGAAAACCCTCAATAGAAAGGAAAAGTTAATGGGGAAAGATTTCAAAAGTCTACCCAACACTGAGAAACCCAATCCCTGAGTGCAGATGGGTCTCAAAGAAGGCAGGTGGACACTGTGATCATATGGCTAACCAGATTCCCTAATCAATGTCCCTGCAGAAAAGAAATAGACATCCAACCTTCAGAAGTAGTTAGATCTAGTAGGAAGAAAGAAATCAAATGGCAAAGAAGTAACACAAAACAAGCTTGATTTAAGAAATATTTGAAGAACCTCACATTCCTTACAGAGTACTGTTTTTTTCAAGGATTTTTTAAAATTAAATCCTGTAACTGACCATTAAATGGAACTTTAAAAATGAAAATAAGTATAGGTCACATGTTCTGTAATATTTCAATTAAAGAATAGATATATAATAAAAATAGAACCACAAACAAGTCTCTATATATCATGCTAATTGTGTATTAAAGAGTAACTCAAGCCTTAACTCTTACACTCTTGGAAACCATGAGAACTTTTTCTGCTAGAAGTAATATGAGACAGCAAAAATCTGAGAAAAATGCCTATCTTTTTAAAGGCCTCCAGTGTCAAACACACAGACCAAAAATAAAGGAGCTTAATACTAACTAAGATTAAAAAGTCAGAAATAAACAAAAACAAATTAGAATAGTATATTAATAAAAATAAAATGATAAAAACAGTTCAAAGCAAGAGTGAGTTTTTAGTTAATACCAATAGGATAGGCAAATCTTGTATGATTCTGATAAAAGAAACAAGGCAATAAGAAAGTTATAGATATTTAGGAACATGAAAAATAAATGATTCTTATTTTAAAAGTAAAAATATAACTTTATACAAAGAGTGAAAGGTTCATAACAGAGCATATTTTCAAGTATGTTATTTATCCTTGGCAGACTTTCCTGGATATCGGCCACCCCTTGGGTGTAAATAATCTTTCACCTCTGGGTGAAAGAATTATCTCACTTTCTTTGTTCCATCTCTACCTCTCTCTCATTCCTCAGTACAGCTCAGTAGCATCATTAAAATCACAAATTATTACGGAGAAAAATAAGTGTGCATGAAAACACCATCAACTTTATGGTAGCAAATATTAAAGAGTGTAGAAAATTGGTGATTTTTTTTTTTTAGCAAAACATAAAATACCAATAGTGACCCAAAGGAAAAGTGCAATATGTAAGTAATAAAGTATCATAGAAAATATTTGAAAATGAATTGAAGATTGAATTGAAAGAGATCCAAGTACCATAGAAGCACATAAGTGAGTTCTCTATTTTTCAAGATAACTTTAAGTGTTGTGGAAACCAACACAAATCATGGAAAAGACAGGCTGCTTCCTGTAACATTTTATAAAGCCAGCATTATTGTAACCCAAATAAGATAATTATATTAAAACATATAACTATAGAAAAAGCATACATATGTAATCAAGAAGGAGTTATTTTACAAATGTAATATCAGTGAATCCATGACTGTAGTTTACATTTTAAAATAATTAGAGGAGAAGTTTCACTCTGAAGACCTCAGTGATGTATTTCCTTTGTTGTTATTACCAGTATTGCTCATCAAATATTCTTGGTCTCCACCAAGTAGAATGTCTCTTCTTGTCCCCCATGTGGTTTAATAGAATCTCATGATGTGTTCTGGTCAATTAGGTATATGTAGAAGTGACATATTCAACTTCTGGCCAAGAACCTTTAATTTCATGCTTAAGACCTTTTACTGTCTGCCTTAGCAACTTGGAGAAAGGACTCACAGCCCCTAGACACGTAGCAAGTGTGAAATATTAATCTCCCCTATTATACCCACTCAAATTGCAGAGCTGTTTGTTACCACAGTGTAACCTGTAACCAAGTCAACTTGAGATCATCATTTAATATTTTAGTCTTAGTTTCATTCATTTCCAGTATAAAGGTAAAATGTCTATTTCATGAGGAAAGGGTAATACAAGTTCTAAAGTACACTGTGAATTATAAAATGATACATTTAAAAAAAATGACATAAATGATAGTAATGTGTGACAATTAGGCATATTCTAAGAAATATAAAAATATAAACAAAAAAATCATTACTAAAATGAAAAACATGGTTTTGTATATATGTGGAAAATAAGACTTATGGAAAATAATTTATGATGCAGATTTCAGAAATGTCTCATAAAATTTTTGAATGTATCATAAAGTTTTTTTAATTCTATGTTTGCTTTATGTATTCCTTATATAGTATATTTGGATAGTTGACTAAACATGACAAAAGTAAAATTAATATGTTTAATTCTACTTATGCTGTATTCTAAAAATAATTTACTACATCACTTTAAAAACATTAGAATTAAATTTTATATAATATTTATCTATGTGAATATATGATTTCATAGGCAATAAATGTGAATGTAAGGACTTAACTAGAAAAATTATAATATTAATTAGTACCATTGGTTGTTTTATAAATATCACTAATTAAAATCAAGTGTTCTTTAAGAATTCAAGTTGACAAAAATGACTCTGATTTCACATTTTCCAACTGTAGAAATAATGGATAACTATAAATATAACTGTTGCAACTTATTTGGCATATATATATCAAATATATATATATTAGAAACATGTGCTCTGCAAACCATTGCCTAATTTATTCATTATTAATATATTTTTTAAAAATTTCCATCACTCTTTTCTCTAAATAAAATCTTTCATTAAATTTAGATTATACCATATGAATAATTATTTATCCTGCTTTTCCAAAAATTTAAATGCAAATGCAAGGTTTTCTCATGTCAACAAATTTCCAAACATTACCTTAAATATATTGGTTACATTCTGCTATACAGTCATACTCTTTCCTTCATTTTTTGCTCTTCCTTTTTAAAATTTGTTTTCTGTTATAAATGAAACCACTATGATTGTCTATAGATTTCACTAACTAAATTTTTTCTAGCCTTAAAACCTGGATAAAACGGTATAATTTTTTTCATTTTGAATGCATCCAGTCATTTGTCAATTACATGAATATTTTTCCAAAAAGGAGACTATTTTTTCAACTGGGCACAGTTTCACATATTTTATTTGCCATCTGTAGATTCACAACGATTATTACTAATAGCACAGAACTTTGGGAGAGACTACATAAAACTGAAAAAAAAATAGTGGCCAGGCAGAAACATCTTCTTAAGTGTGGTATGAAATATTGATATGCTATTTAAAAATTCCTTTAGATGATACAGAAATGCATAACTACTTTTACTAAGCATCAGGAACATACCGTTTCAAACACTCTTTTCTTTATAATTATGAATCTTTATCACACAACACTTCAAAAGGATTGATGAGTCTAATTCCATGCCTCACAAATTTGGTTGAAAATCTTGCTTTTCATCACTCACTATCAATTTAATATGTTGTATGTAACATTTATGCTAAAATGCATGCAACCCAAGGGAATAAACACACACACACATATATATATACACACACACCTTAGAGTATTTCCATTTTTTGATGCGAGGTCATATTAAATTTGCTCATCAATGGATATTTATTGAACTTCAAATGCATGTAAAACATGGGTAATATTGGTATGTTCCTCATGAGGTCATCATGATTATTAAATGAAATAATTCATTTAGTACAGAGAATTCATTTATACCTTATAATTACCAGAGGAAAATAACATTGCTTCAACTAATGTGGAACATATAGACCCTGCTTTCAATCAACTCAAATTAACTTGGGCATCAGTTTTTACTTTAACGTCTGAAAAATATTAAATCCATGAACACAGAAGCAGATTCCTGCTTTACTGAGGTGTTGTTAAGGTATTTCTTTCTACATTTAATTTGACCTAATAGATTCCATGCATCTTCTTTTAGCCCCATGCGGTGGACATCTGACAGCTTCCAGTGGAGTCATTTTGCCTCCTGGATGGCCAGGATATTATAAAGATTCTTTAAATTGTGAATGGGTAATTGAAGCAAAACCCGGCCACTCTATCAAAATAACTTTTGATAGGTAAGGAAAAGCCCATTTTCTATCTTCATTTAAACCGAATGAACTGTATCTACACTGTGTTTTTAGTAAACGACTCTTCAAACTTTTTAAAAAATGACAGCTTTTCATGGATTCCCCCAAAGGAACTCACTTAACCAGAAACAGGCACTTACTTAATAAATTTTGTTCTTGAAGGTCCTTCTTTAAGTGCACCATGAAACCATAGCTCTGTGGGCTTGGCAGGGAAAGGTCCTGGGTGACTAACCGCCAGGTCTACCCTTGAGTTCAACCCTGAATGTTGGACTTGCATTGGAATAAATGCTGGTTGATATTTGCACATGGAAATACCTCAGGGCCCCTTGGCCTCTTAGGTGCCTTCTGTGGCAGCAGAAAAATACCTCCCCTGTCCTGGATGGCCTCTGGTAACTGGAGGGCAACCAAGGATGCACTCGGCAGCAGGTTGGTGTAACAGGTTAATCAATTACGAGCGATACCATCACTGGAATGCTTTTAGGCTTAGCGATTTGATGATACTAGGGGAAAAAAAGCATGTTATTTGAATTTGCATGAAAAAAATATTCTACCATTTGTCTCAACATTGAAATCAAGTTGATAATTAAAAACTAAAAATGTTCTGTTCCAAACCATATGCTTTGAAAGCTAAGGGAGCATCTTTGTTTAGCATTTCAAGGTTAATCTCTGAATAACACTGAACTTTCTTTAGCAATGATCTTCTTTTTTACCATAGTGTATTCTGAGTTTTAATATTCAGAATATTATCAGATATTAAGACAGAAAAACATCATTACATATTTTTTGTTTTCCAGTCATTGTCTAATGATCAATGGCAATGTCAATACAGAAAAGTTTCTGTAAGAGATGTGTTATCTTTTAGTAATTATTTGTATTTACAATTATTATTCATATTACTTACCTCTGATAGACTAATAATAATCTCCATTAAAATAATCCCTCCGAAAAAATACAAAATTTAGTTTACATATTCCCTATTTTGGAAAGTGGATTCTTGCCCAAAATCTTAATCATTTGAAAAAACATTAACTCTATAAATATTCAGTCAATTAAGTTTGGTTTCTATTTTTACACTTTCTGGTATTGAGGAGGGGAAGTTGAAGCTCACTCTGACTCCCAGCAGCATTTCAGATTTATGTCAGTTAGTAAAAGTTGTGATTTTATATTCTCATTTGACACAGTTTATTGACACTCCATTTTCAGTTGCTCGAAGGAAGATGCTTAAATTTTCACAATCGTGCCTTTTCAAAATTATTTCAGTGTGATGTTTTGCTAAATTCCATTCGGAAGTATCTCATATTTCTGATATGTTCAGACATGTGTGATCTTTACCCTAGATCTAGCATACAGCTCTTAAAAGATGAATGACCTATTGCAAAATTAGTTGCCACCATGACCAGGGGCTGATATCATCCTAAAGATGTGTCTATAGGTACATATTTTGAATCTCCTTCTGGTAGTATCACCATGCAGCGTGTATTTGGTGGCCAAATAATGCCAAGCATTTAGATGTTTCTGTTCCTGAAGTTGTCCTAGAAACTTACAGCTGTTGAGATGTATGCTCTGTCCATGTTCAATGTCACTAAAAAAAGAGAGAGCCTGACAACTTCAGTGTAAATATATCACACGAGATTACTTTCATGCTTATCTAGATTTCTTGAATTTGAACTCACATAACTGAGAATCTGAGTGTTTAGAGAAAGCCTTCACACAGTAAAAGACAGAGCTGACACTTTGTCCAATCCCCATTGTGCCAGTTGTTATTCTGGTCTAACGGCATGATACAGAAATTGTTTAAATTCCTCTTCATGGAAGATGGGGGATCAGGGCACCAACATAGTTAGTTGCATCTTCCTTAAAATTTGTTTCAACTCCTCCTGCAAATAAATTAAATGAAGTGACTCTGGTCATTTTCAAAAAAAAAAAGAATATATAATTACTGTGCTTTTGCACTTGGAGGACTATAGATAATTTAATGCTAAACAGAGCAGAGCCCTTTGGTTTCAACATTCTTATTTGTTGATATGTGACATGAAGCAAAGGTTATTTCTTCCTTCCCAAGTTGTCTTCCTCCTCATCAGCAATATCCAGGACTGAGCGTGGGGGTAATGGCCTAGGCTTCAGTGGAATTCTTTGGCTCCAAGTGACTTTGTGAGTCAGAGGCTTATGATGCTTAAGCTGCTCCACAAGAGCAAAGTCGGACACTTGGAAACCGGGTTAGCTCTTCCAGGACGAGATGCGCCCATTTAGAAAATTATCTCAGTGCCTGGAATGGTAACTTCATTGCATCAAAGGACACCCAAGTGGCTGCAACTTTATATAAATATAATCTCAGGCCGGATTCTCTGGAAGCATAAGAAAAGTTAAGCACTTTTTAGAAGCTGTTCTAACTTTTTCAAGTCATTAAAGTATTATTTACTTTCAGAAGTAGCAATGTGCCCAGTGTTATTCTAGTGCCTTGAAAGAGTTATTGCAATTTAAGAAGACACAAGATTTTTGTTTATGAAGGGTATTTAAAGGATTATCATATATTTTTATTTGCCTTCTTTCTTTAAGAGAGCAGTTTAATTAGTATACCATTTTAATATTTCCCTGATCATACTAAATAGGATCATCCTAAATCATCCTAAATAGAATGGATGATGAAAAATAGTTTTAAATTATAATAATCGATTATAAATAGTTTTAAATTATAATAATCGATTATTCACTAATAGAGGATTCTCTATTAAGAAAACGAATCTGGTTTATGGTATTTTTTTTAGAGCTAAAAAAAAATTCCCACTTGTGTCTGTGATGTTGTAAGACAGAATATTAGTCAAAAAAAGAAAGAAAGAAAGAAAGAAAGAAAAAAGGCATTTAAGTTGTGCTGTTTCTTCCAGAAAAAAAAGATGTTCAATTCTTATATATTATATGCCCCCATGTTTGGAAATATATATATATATAATTTAAAATATTGTATTAATATTGATGTACAGGGGTTTCTAATCAATGAATACAGATATTAGGAACAGATCTGTAGGCGAGCACAGCTCTGCTTGTCTTTTCTGACTGGATGCCACATTTGCAGATTTCAGACAGAAGTCAACTATGACACCCTGGAGGTCAGAGACGGGCCAGCCAGTTCGTCCCCACTGATCGGAGAGTACCATGGCACGCAGGCGCCACAATTCCTCATCAGCACTGGGAACTTTATGCACCTGCTTTTCACCACAGACAACAGCCGCTCCAGCATCGGCTTCCTCATCCATTATGAAAGTGAGTCGTTGACCACCCAGGCACCACAGCCTGCCCGGGCAGTTTAAAACTTGTATTCCCATGTTCAACCTGCAGATGACTGTGCTGGTCATTGATCCTGTTAGACTCTGACAAAAGCATGCTATGCAGCTGTAAGAACTTTCTCTCATTCCTAAGGGAGCATCTTGGAGATTTTTTTTTTAACTTTCAAAACAACATTTCATTGCTTTTGATAAGGTTAAATAATACAGTAATTAAAACGCAGAAGCGGGTTCATCTACTGCCTAAGGTAACGGCATATTTTTACTTTTAGAAAATATACCTGTTGGCATGCCAGGCATCGTGGCTCATGCCTGTAATCCCAACACTTTGGGAAGTGGAGGAGAGAGGATTGCCTGAGCCCAGGAGTTCGAGACCAACCTGGGGAACATGGCGAGATCTCATCTTTACAATTAAAAAAAAATTATCTGGATGTGGTGACAAGTACATGTAGCCCGAGATTCTTGGAAGGTTGAGGTGGAAGGATGGCCTGAGCCCAAGAGGTTGAGGCTGCGGTGGCTGTGAGCATGCCACTGCACTCTACCCTGGGCAACAGAGTGAGACTCTGACTCAAGAAAAAGAACAAAAAGAAAAATAATATGTACCTATTGGCCAAAAGTATTACAGGACACATCACTCAAATTGTATATCCTGAACAATGGGGAAAGTGATTCACTGCTAGAAAAACAGATTAGAGTGATTTGTGGTACATAACCTCGTGGTCTTGGTACAGGAGGACAGTTTTACCAGGTAGAGACCCGGTAACTAAGAGAAGAGAAGGAATTAAAACTCACTAAACTTCACCAAATACCAAAGAACTGTTAGCAATGTCTCAACAATTGTTAACGATATTTTAAGACAATTGTTAAACAGGTGTTAAGGCAGTTATTAGAATGTCATAATGGAACGTGTTTTGCAAGCTGGTACAAACTTTAGGTATTCCTTCCCATTTTTCTTTCCTCTACTCAAAGTTTAGCTTCTAAAATTGTAAGATCAAGTCATTGTATTATTTTACAGTAATATTTATGCAAGTATACTTCTAGAATCTACCTGAGGGTGATTCTTCTTAGGAATGAGTTTTTAACATTAGCCAATGGAAACAAAACAGTTACTCTTCTTTGTTTGAAAATGCTTCACTCAAAGAGTAGAATTTAAAAAAGGAGAGTGAATGGAGGTGACCATGGACCTGAAGAAATGAAACATTTATATTGCAAGAGTATTATGGTTGTTCTTTTTGTGAACCTTATATCCAAGCAAACATAACAAAATTAATTTTAATGGTATTTTAAAAAATTTTATATATGCCTACGCATATGATTTTGCAAATGCGTGGGTGGGATTGTATCTAGGATGCTGAATTTTAAATCTTTTTTCTTTTTCTTGCCTTCCTTTTCCCATATCACCTCCTGCTAATCTTGTTAACCTCTGCCCAAGCCCTTCTCCAAATAATAACCCGTTGTGTACATCTCTTAGTTTAACAAGTTCATTTAATAATATAGGAAAGCACATGTGCATATACTTATGTAAGATTATGTGTACATTTTGATGAATAAGTCATATTCTGACAGCAAGAAAATTGATTATTAATGACAAAGATTAATTTCAAATTTAATTCAAGGTTCTTAGTTATTATATTTATATATATAACTTTTATTCCAAATCAGAATTTTTTAAACTTAATAAAATTTAAGAAAATCTTTACTTTTCATTTCTTTATAGTGTTCATTTAAGTTATCATTTTTATGGAGTAATGATATACACACATTGTAATGATCTGAATTTGTAAAACTCCTAAGCATCAAGTAGTATTATACTTTCTCCACCTCACCCCTCACTTTTTTAGATCAGAATTACTGGGTCCTTACATTTATAGAACATGAATCTTAAAAAATTAAGTATTTTCAGATGTTGACAAATATTAGTTTTCCTTTTTTTTTCTTTTCTCTCTATTTGTGTAGTTATAGATTGCCTGTTTTTAGTACACTTTGAGAAAATGTGTTCAAAAGTCCATATGCAGGCAGGCAGTTGAAATTAATTTCAATTGTTTATCTAACTCATTTAAATGAATGAGTTGCTCTTATTCTTTTAGAAAATCAAAGACTGATAAAAAGTCTGTTCACAGGTTCTTACTTAACTTGTCATCCTCACTAATATAATGTTATAATATATTTTATTATATGATATGACATATTTTAGCATAATATGATAATTTAATATGCAGGCAATTTTGTCAATAATCTTTCTAACCTTAAAATAATTACTAGGTTATGTTTGAGTTTCTGCCTTATTTATCCTGTGATTAAAACCAGAATGCAGGCTTTGTAAGGCATGCTTCCATAGCCTGAAGTAACCCCTCAGAGAGAAATGTTCTTTTTTTTTTTTTTTTTTTGAGTTAGAATCTCACTCTGTCACCCAGACTGCTGGAGTGCAGTAGCATGCTCCTGGCCACCGCAGCCTCGACCTGCTGGGCTCCAGCGATCCTTCCACCTCAGCCTTCC